TAATGCTACAAAAACTACTTACGCCTATTGTGTGCATTATGAAAGGAAACAATTAATTAAATAATTAGGTAAGTGTTTAAATATTTTCTACCTAAATTATGTAATTATAGCCTCACTATATGAATCACCCGTATTTCCTCCAAATTTATTTTTTAAAAAATCTTGTGTGCGCAGAAAATAAATAAATAGTAATAATAATAACGAAGAGGAACTTAAATTTTTTCTTATGCGGAAACAACCTTTTTTCTTAAAACTTAACTTACATTTTTAAATATCAGACAATCAATTACCTATCTCGAGGGCTGTTTTACACTCATGCTCAGCTATGCTATGTTGTATACAATGATTGATTTCGTTAAAAGTTGGTCTATCGCTGGCCTTACGATTCCAACAGCGTCTCATCAAAGCGTACACCGATATGAGCGTATTGTCCGGATAACTTAAGACATTACCATCCTTAATGTATTTGATTACTTCTTCATGGCTCATCCCGCAATATGGTTGAAGAGCGCAAGAAAAAATCTCCTACAAACAGATTCCATAAGCCCAAACGTCTGATTCTATGGAAAACTTTTTATATAATATACATTCTAGCGGCATCCTACGTACAGGTATAACATCATTCTCATCTCCTTTGTAGTAGTCTTGTAAGTAAATCTTATGCGATAAACCAAAGTCGGCAATTTTCACTATCATGTGCTCAATGACAAGGCAATTCCTTGTAGCCAAGTCATGATGTACAAATTTGCGTTCTGATAAATAAACCATGCCGGCCGCTATATGTGCGGCTATTTGTAAAAGATGTGCTTCATTTAACGGTTTACGTTCGTGCTCGCGATGGGTGGCGTACGGTGAACAAGAGCGTAGAAACTCACTAAGATCGCCGGGCGACATAAATTCAAAAAGTAAACACATGGGTCTTCCCAAAGCACACACCCTCAACAGTTTTGTTGTGAGGTTTACTTCCTATAAATGTTAAGTAGATTCAACTGAATCCATTCAAAAGCAATTGTTACCGTTTGCCCTCAGGAATTTCGGTTGGGACCCAAGTAAAAATATAATTGTGAGCTGTTTAACATGTTTGGAGTTCTTTGCAGAAACCTAAATGGCGTCCGTTACCTAATCTCAACATCGGATTCTGTAAAGTGTATTAAAATAACTTTGCTTTACACGAGCGATTGCCTATGTCGTATTTAAGCTAACTTTTAAACTGAATATCCCCTTAAGATTCGAAAATGAATTGGTGTTGATCACTCTATCGGTTGCCAAGCTGTTGCAAGCTGTTGCGGTGGCTTAGGGGTTCACCTGCAAATTGGTTCTGTACCGTTTGCGGGTGTGCCTCTGTGTTCTAGTTGTGTACATGTTTCCTTTTTTTTGTTTATTTATGCGTGGATTATTATTTATTATTTTAGTTGAGTTTCGTTTGTAGGTAAATAAAAAACAAAAGCTCATACATACATATTGAACATATTTTTGGATTTAAGATAAAGTTATGAACAAAAATATGCATTTAATTCCAAGATATATAACAAAAAAGTGTACGTACAGTTCATTTCATAGGTGGTTTAACAAATTATTTGTGGATAAAATTAAAAAATTTAGATTTTTTTGACTTGCTTTGGTTGGGTAGTACTGCTGGTTTTTTTTTTTTTTTTTGCGTTATATCTATACAAACTTTGATCCGTACCCTAAGTAAAGCTTTGTTAGGGTCATCTACGTTACAAATGTTACTTTTTCCAACTCGCTCATCTAATTCATGTCTTGTTTCCATTTGCATTCAAACCATGCGATTGCGAAGAAGAATGTATATGCTTCTGAACGTAGTCACTCCCTTACGACGAGAGATTTACGTTTACTATCGTTATTCTGCTGGAAGATTCATGAAGCGAAGAAGAATAGAAGAAACAGGACAAAATAATTTAAGTATTGATAGTCTTGACTGAGATACGAGTTGCCATATATAGTTGCCTTTATATCTATTAAAATTGTAAAAGTTCTGTTAAGGTGATGAAAATTCTGTTACAATGGTCTGGTTTTCCATATATTATTATTATTATTATTATTTTAATTTTAGACTAATGAATTGAATTCTTAGACTAAAAAAAGAGACATTGAGCACTAGCATTTTTTTTCCATATAAAGTTACCGATTCCTGTTAAAACTAAAACAAATTTGTAATGCAACACCAAATAAATATTTATCAAATGTCTAACAACTTGTTCACCAATTAAAGAATATATATGTATATATAGCAGCCCTTCAGTGCTACGTGCAATTTACTGGCACGTATTGATATAAGTATGCTAATTTGTGTTAGAAGAATCTTTGGTATTTCACGTGCAATTTTATTGTACATAGTACCCTTTCATGGGATGTTAATCTCTTAATATTTGTACATATATTGCATATTTATTTAAATTTAGCATAGAGGGCGATATTAAGGAGCTAGATGGAGTTAATTTGGAATTTGTAGAACAACAGAAAGAAGGAATACAAATCCATTAATGCAGTTTTTAGCAAGAGAAATCGTAATGTTTCGTACTGTATGCGGACTTTGTTGGGCCGCTGTGTATAATTCTATTTTACTGGCAACGACAGTCCCTTCATCAAGGTTTTGTGGAAATATTAAACTGCGGTTTTCAACGGCTGAAATCACAGAAAGTTGTTATACAACTCCGCGCAGGATGGAATAGAATATTAACTTAGTTTATGGATTAACCTAAAATTTTTATTTTCTTTATGATTAAAAGCAACTACCTAAAATGCGAATTTCAGAACGACATTTGGCATTTGAAACTTTATTTTCCATCTCTTTAATTTCACTCATAAGCTGCTTAATACAGGTGGCTTCTTTGCGGGCTTCTCTTGCTGAATTTATAGGAAAAGATATTAGTAATTCCTCCACAGTAGCTTTATAACAATAAATGT